ACATGGATTTTTTGGTTTCCTAGTGTGTATTAAAGTTGTTTACATCACTCTATAGCTCATTAAGTGTGCAATAGAATTACATGTAAAAACATATATACCTTAAATTTTTTAATGCTAAAAAATATGAACAGTTGATTCTCAGCAAGACATGTTCATTTTGTTGGTGGAGGATCTTGCCAACATATTGATGGCTGTTGACTTATTAGAGTGATGGTTGCTGAAAGTTGGGTTGGCTATGAAGTTCTCCAAATTTATTGACTCTTACTTTCACAAAAGACTTTTCCATAGCATATGATACTATTTGATAGTATTTTATCTATAACAGAACTATTTTCAAAATTGGAGTTAATTACTCATACCTTGCCTGATGCATCAACTAAGTTTTTGTATTATCCCAAATCTTTATTGTTATTCCAGTGATTTTTCAGCATCTTCACCAGAATAAATTCCACTTTAAGAAGCAATTTTGCTCATTCATATGAAGCAACTTCTCATCAACTGGAGTTTTATCAGGAGATTGTAGCAGTTCATTCACATCTTCAGACTCTACTATTAATTCTAGTTCTCTTATTTCCACCATACCTGCTGTTGCTTCCTCCACTGAAATCTTGAACTCTTCTTACCCAAGGAGTGGAATCAACTACATCTTCCAAGCTAACAGTTAATATTTACATAAATAATGAATATTCCTCCTCCCATTAATAATGAATGTTCATAATGGCATTGAGAATGGTGAATCTTTTCTAGAAGGTTTTTCATTTACTTCACACAGGTACAAAGAGAAATCATTATCTATGGCAACTAAAGCCTTTATAAAATATAATTTTTAAATAATAGCAATTGAAAGTAAAAAATTACACCTGGATTCATGAATTTCAGAGTGGATTATGTGTTTGTAGGCACAAAAATAAGTGTCTTAGGATTTCCAGAATGTTAAATCAGCATTGGCTTCATTGTAAATTCACCAACTGCATTAGCTTTTAATACAAAGTGTTAATTTTTACCCTTTGGACTGCTCTTCTCTAGGTATGAAAGACCTAGATACCCTTGTATTCCAATCTAATGTTTGTATACATTGAAAATCTAATGTTTAGTGAAACCTCCTCCATCTGTCATTTAGATCTTCTAGACAACATACCCTAGTTTCTACATCAGTACTGACTGCTTTACCTTGAACTTTCATATTATAGAAATGGCTCTTTTCCTTAGAGCTCATGAACCAACCTCTTCTAGTTCTACATATTCTTCTAAAACTTCCTTTTCCTCTTAACCTTCACAGAATTGAAGAGAGTTAGAGCCCTCTTCTGGATTAGGCTCTGGCCTCAGGGAATGCTGAGGCTGGTTTCATCTTATATTCAAATAATTACAACTTTTTCCACATCCACAATAAGGCTTTTCATTTTCTTAGCATTTGTAGGTTCATTGGAGCAGCACTTTTAATTTCTTTGAAGAACTTCTTTCCATTCTTTACATTCACAACTTGGCTAACTGGTACAATAGGCAGAGCTTTTGCTTTTCTGAGCTTTCGACATGCTTTATTTACTAAACTTGATCATGTCTAGCTTTTGATTGAAAGTGACAGATGTGTGACTCTTGTCTTGAACACTTAGAGGCCTTTGTAAGATTATCAGTTGGCCTAATGTCACTATTGTTGTGTCTCACGGAATTGGGAGGCCCAAGTACAGAAAGAGAAAGATGGCAGAATTGCCTGGCATAGGAGAAGTCAGCACCTACACATTACTGATGAAGTTCCCATCTCATGTGGGTGTGGTTTGTGGTGTTCCAAAAGAATCACAGCCATAACAACAAAAATCACTGGTCATCATAACAGAAAATAACTATGAAAAAGTTTGAAATAGTGTAGAAATTATCAAAATGTAACAAAGAGGCACATGTTTTTGGGAAAATAGTGCTGACAGATTTTCTAGATGCGGGATTGCCACAAAATCTCAATTTGTAAAAAATGTAGTATCTGGGAAATGTAATAAAATGTACTGCAATAAAATGAGTAACCCATTCTCATCTATTCCTAATTGATTACTCAATGGATGGAACAGTTATGTTTGCTAGATTTGGTGGGGGGGGGGGCAGGAGGTACCAGGGATCAAACTCAGGGCTACTTGACCACTGAACCACATCCCAAGCCCTATTTTATATTTTATTTAGAGACAAGATCTTACTGAGTTCCTTAGCACATCACTTCTGCTGAGGCTGGCTTTGAACTCACAATCTTCCTGCCTCAGCCTCCCAAGCTGATGTGTGCCACAGTGCCTGGCTTGCTAGATTTTTAATAAGCATCATGCCTATGTTCTGCTGAGCAGGACCCATGTAACAAATCCAATACCCAAACTACAACTGTCAATGAGCTGATAAAGTTGAGACATGGTACTAAAGGGTTCAAATTAGTTGACCGAGAGAGAACTGCTCTCCTGAGCTCCAACCCTGAAAAAAATCTAAAAAATGCTAGGAGAAGGTCAACTGTACATCCACTGACTGACAACAAAGAGGATATGAATAAAAATTGTGAGATTAAAAATATCTTAAATTATCTTGGGATTTAGCATAAATATGCTTTTGGAAGAAAACCCTAAAAGATTCATACGTACATATAAAGATATTATTTTATACTTTAAAATAAATCAAACTATTCTTAGAACTCAGTAAAAAAATATACCTCTTCTAAGGTAAACTTGGAAAGATGAAAGTCCACAAAATACATTTAAAATAGAGTAAGTGAAATAAAATGTACATGATCAACTACTAAGAAGAACTGGAGGTGAGTTAATCCTACCTTTGTTAATAAAGCAGTCATCAGATAATAAACTACTCTGTGGAGATTAGTTTCCTTTCATAGTTTATGCCATCATAATACCAGGTATGCTTTCTTAGCTTTCTAAGGGCTTTTCTTGTTTACATTTTGTTTCTCAATAATTTTACTCATTCCTACAGATAGATGTATTTTTCTAAATCAAAGATCTTGTGCTCCATGCCTGCACAGAATCTCTGATAATTCACTGTGACCACTAAGCAAGTGTCACATGCTCCGCTGAGCTTTCACGACACTCCCATCAGCCTTCCTGCAGGGTGAACAGGAAGATTCAGGGTTCGTCTCCCCAGGCTGTTATTCTGCTGCCCCTACTTATCAATTATGTTATGAGAATGACAATCAAAATTCTTTCTATCTCAGTTTCTTTATCTGTGAAATAGGATAATTGCTTTAATGAGCACAAATTTATTTGTGAGGTGTCCTGATCCATAATGAGTGCTACAAAAAAGTCAACTACTACTTTGTTATTGCTATTACCGCTATTCATGATTCAAAGTAATCCAAGATTGTGTGTCTGCCTCTGACAGCAGATAGTTCTTATGCCTTCTCATTTAACCAAAGTTTTCTGAAACATGAATTATTATTCCCATGTTGCAGATAGGGAAACTAATAATCAAGCATTCTAACTGACTTCGGTAAAGGCTTATAGTGACTGAGTGCTACAGCCAATATCCAGCCCAGGTCTGTTTACATTGTGTTGACAATGCTTTTCAACTTTACAAAAGCTATCTTTGCAGACTGTCACCTATTGCTACACTGTGAAGAATAGTGGCCATGGGTTTGAATCCCAGCACAGGATTACTTGGCAAATCTTATAAACTTCTTGAGTGTCACTTTTCTCCACTGCAAGAGACGGGCAGTGATGCTTAGTTTTACAAACTCAAATAAGAGGATAACTTAGCTTAAATAGTGTAGTAGCTGATATATATTATGTACCAAATTTTATGAATGCAAATATATATTATTATTTTTATTAATTTATATCAAGACACTAATGTCCTAACTTTCCAAGTATACTTCTTCATTACCAAAGCCTCATTCCTTCCTGAGCTAATCTCTGCCCATTGAAAATATATGCTTTTTGCATATCTAGGAGAAATATTATACTTTTTTAAAAAAACATTGCTTCTTTCTTCACTTAGATACAGATCCACAATTCCTTGTCTAACTTCTATGAGGGTAGATATGTTTCAGTTTATTTTATAATGTGTATGGAGTATAGCTTTTATAGAATATGATATTGCCTTGTAGGGTATGGAACAGAATCTTATAAATAAACAGTAACATTTATGCTGCAAATAGTATACATTTTCACATTCATTTGGATTAAGAATAAAAATAGGTTCATAACAGTTCATATTACCTATTTCTAATACACATAGAACAAGTTAACATGTACTGTTAAATGATTAATTTTAAAAATTTTGGTTTTTAATTTTTTGAATTTTACAATTACACATAAGAATTGGAGACTCATGCAAGGCCCTTGGTTCAATCCGTAGTCCACAAAAACAAACAGAAAAATCCCAGGATTGGAGACTTGCATCATGATCTTTCCCCCATCGAGATTTGCTAGATCCACTTTCAGTACTATGTGTTCTTTTAGCACAGTTGTGCATTTACTCATCTCAGTTTTCATTAGTACTCTGTGAGGTCTCTAAAGGCAAGGATGTGTCTTCACCCTTGTGTTCTCTTCAGGATCTACTATGGCCTTAAATTCTAAGTTTTAAGCATACTTTATCAACAAGAAGCTATCATGTCAATATTCCAAATACATGGGTGCAGCAAAACTACTTGTCAACATGACAAAATTCCCTTTCATCATCATTAAGATGCATTGAGTCATTATTTAATCCAATTTCTCTTAAAAAAAAAACCAGCCTAAATTATGCTATATCAATTTCACCAGAAGATCTCCTGAGGAATGAAATTCACTGATGGTCTGGCTGAACTACCATTCTAGAGGAGTGAAGGAATGCTCTAATTTTCAAATTAAAATCTGAATCTTGGAAACTAAATGATGGGAGAAAATTCTTGGCATCTTATTTTGTGATTTGTAGGTAAGTCATTTAAAAAGCCAATGATGGCATTTGTTGATAAAAATTATTTTCACATGGTGTGAAACAGTTTCTTGGTATTTATTTTACAAGAACAGAACTTCTTGCCATCTTACCTATATGTTGTCCATACATGTGATAAAAGAAGCTGAAACAGTATGCAGTGTTTGTAGGTCCATAAGGATTTTTTGGAGCTATGCTGAAAACAGGGCTGAGAAGTCGAGCCTTTTCACCTTCCAGTCTGGGTCGAGATGTTTCAATGTACATATAGAAACCTTAAAACAGACAAAAAAAAGCATTTAAGCACATTCTTACTGGGAAACATGAATTTCAAGCCATTGAGAAGTTTTTGAGTTTCCTACAAAATAAAGATCAATAGGAGAATTTATAGCTCATATACATACATATGGATGACCCATGGCAGTGTTAGCATAAAGAATAAATAATCTTTAAACAATCTCTAAATAGAAATATTTAAATTAAAATGTACCAAAGCTTCTGGAAAATTAGAATTTTAGAATTGAGTTAGCAAAAAAACAAAACAATAACAACTTTCTGACTTCTCATCTATTTATGTCAGAGAGTTCTGAGAAAAAAAATTAATGTCTACACACTTTTGAATTATCTAAATTATTGATCCTATAACTAAGATATAATGTTTTATTCCATAATGGTGATATATATGGCTACATACTGTTATAGTTCACGTTTATAACATTTTTCAGGTCTCTGATTGTAATGAACACTACACTGCATACCCTCATACCTTCTTTGGAGCCACTGCGATCAGCATTAGGTCCTGTGTTAGGAGTATATTTTGTATTTCTTGTTGCAGTACTTTGTTTTGTCCAGTCAAAATTATCAGTATCATCTTGGGTGAACAAACAAATGTTACCATCTTCAAATCCACAGTGAAATTCTCCTGTTAAAATTTTTAATTAAATTAACTAAAATTAATTTAAATTAATAACATCACAATATTTACATTAAAAACTTTTCTAACATTATAAAGTAATAACAATAAGACAAATATAAGATCATGATAATAACATCAGAGCCTTAATAGACAATATTATAACTAAACATAAAACTATTGCAATTTTAATAAAAAGGATAGATTATTTTTATATGTTGATCAGTATTATACTGAATAATTAAAACTCAAACCATTTTCCTCAGAAATATCCAGATAATTGAAACATAATTCATGCTTGAATTATGCCTGGAGACTTTTCCTAACTTTTCTTTTTTAAGTATAGAAAGGAAAATTAAAACAAAATTGCAAATTAGAAGATGAGCTTTATTAATTTACCTGATGGCATTTGATAGACTTATACATTGCATTTATAAGTTTTCATGCAGTGTCTAGAGATGCTTTTGTTTTTACCCATTGGCACAAGTGGAAGTTAGCTTAGGGCAAGATAATAACCAATTATTTTGAAAAGCAGTCATTTTTCATATTTATTTGATTGTGGGTTTGCCAAATGTTTGAAATTTACTTGAAGTAAAATAATGAAAAGAACTTTATGATGTGCCTGAAGAGGGATTGGGAATTCTTGGATGCCTACTATACTTTGAGTTCAGATCCGACACGACTTCAGAGATAGACATTTTCAACTTTCTCTAAAATATGGGTGGTAGTAATGTTTCTAGATATCAAAGGTTTTCTTATTGGGATATATTCTGCTTGAAATAAGGTGTAGATAAAAAGCTGGATAAGATCCACTAGAAACATAATTAAATAGTGTATATGATTAATTGAGCACATTAAACAATATATGTTATTTCATCCAACCTAATGACAACTTTTAAAGAAGTCACAACAATCCTTACACATGAGGCTCACAGAAGAGAAAATGTTGACTAAGTCAGCTGTAACATGGTGAAGTAAAAAACAGAATTCAGATTCATGGCAATTCACAGATGAGAAACATCTAATAGACTTTAATTTGAGTCCCTCCCAACCCTTGAAATAGGTGAGATTTATTAGATATCCATGGGAATGGAGTCCTTTTTATTCTTATCCCTGAATTAATTGATTCTACTGACACAAACATAAAAGAGAAGGCTTTATTTATAAATTTAAGGAAGAACTTTTTGTTGTGTTTTGGTCTGTCCAATCATTGATTTGCCATCTCTTTGTATTAATATTCTATATTCTGTGTAGGTAGTTTACAGGGAATGTAAGTATTTAAGGGAATCTAAATCTATAAATTTATAGATGAACAATATTCCACATTAACTATTAGACACATATTTATGTCACTGATATAAATAAGACACAACCATTAGGAGCTAGTAATCAAAGACACAATGTTGGTGACAGCAGACATTTATATGCAATTGATTTTAAAAAAAATTTTTAGGTACAATCTGAGATTCTTTTAATTGTTGTTTTAGAGTTGTGAAAATTACAGAGCACTGTTTGATTTCAAAAGTTCTCAATTGTTTAATTACATAGTGTATATATACAAAAAAGAGTTCAAATCACATATATATAGAAGATTTCAGTATTAGATCTGCTGATCAATCTTAATATATGCTATTTAAAATTATGTATAATAATTTTTATAACACTGTTTAATATTTCCTTTTTGTGATTTAATTTTGACATGTTTAAATTATATTTGTGCTTCAAAAATGAAAAAGAATATTTAAAGTCTGAATATATGACTCTCATAGTGAAATTAAGTAATCATATAGCTTATACAAACAACAGAAAGTTGTATATGACTAAAATTGTTCATAATTTAGAATATTTAATGTGTGATAGGTTGTTTGCAATATTATATTCAGACGGGATAAAACTATATGTGCAATATAAATATTTAATTACATCCCTTCATACGTTTTTATGGGGGGTAGATTATTACTGGAGAGGCTTTATCAAAGTTATCACATATAATGACAAAAGGAGAAAAAAAAACATGATTTGGGACCATGATAATTTTATGATTAGTCTGTTGTTTTAAATGGGATAATTATAAACATATACAAGAAAGCTTATTAATAAAAAGTTTATTGAAATAAAGAATTTTTGATAGATAATAAAAATGCACTGAGCTGTATAAACTTACCAAAAGTCAATGTAATATTAAATATTAAAATATTTCATAAAATGGAAAGTAATAAAATCCATGAGTTTCACAATGATATAGAACTGAGGATTGACTGGATCCTGAATTCTTACTAGTTTCCTAATTACAATACTATTTTGGCAGAGTTTCAGGAGCTACACAGAAGTAAAGATATTTCAAAATTCTGTGTTACATGAGTTCCAAAATTTTACTGTATTTCCCAGATTCCTCCATAAGAGGAGAACAAAGAATAAAAACCCAGGAATAAGAACCCTGGTACCCAGTAACCCTCTTGTGCCCACCTACCCTCTTTGTTCATTTCTTAGAACCTTCAAAAATCTAACTTTATATTAAAAATATAAAGCTCTCAATGATTGATGTGTTTGAGTAAGGTTTCATGGTAAATTGTTTTATTATTTCAAAGTTATTTTCTGAAAGTAGTGATGTTTCCACATCTAGGAAACATCTATAGTATATACATACTGTATTTCATGTTGCACTCATTAGAAAAAAGAAAAAGAATTTCAAAAAACTTCAAAAATTAATAAATTTTAAAAATTTATAACTTAAAATAGACAAATATATTTAGATTTAAAACAGTTATTCGTGAAAAAACATCAAACCATCTAAACACCAACTTTCTACATAACCACACTCTTTTATGGCTGCAATATAGAAATTCAAAGAATGAAAATCAAATGAGCCTATAAAAACAATGCAATCTCACAAAGAAAAACAAATAATTTCACAGTTATAGAAAGAGCAAATATTAAGCAGATCCAAGAAAAAGTTTCATATTTACATATTTAGGAATATTTATAAATAGAAGTTATCAATATTAATTTGTTTTTATACCATATTTTTGAAATTTAAAATTCACATACAATGCCAGTTCCCCTGATTCTAACAGACTGTGTTTTCATCAAATAAGAACAGTCGCTAAATATTCTTTGTATGTTTATTAGTTGTTGCATATTTATTTATTCATGTTTTATTTTCTTCATTATGAAATACATTGTCATTTTTAAAGTAAAAATATACTTACTCAAATGAGGATTTACTGGAGCTACAAGATAAGAGAAAAAAAGATAATGTTAGCAAGACTTGAATGTCTCTTATGAATAAAATCTGATCAGTCTTTTCAGTGTCTCATAGTTCCTTATCAAAACTTGATGAACTTCCCTACTGTGATCATGGAGAATTATATTTGCAATCCATTTTCTTCTGGAGGGTTGAATGCAATCTAGTTTGAATCTCAGCAATAACAACCTCAAAGTACCAAAGATCAGTGCTAAATAACATGGGGGATTTGTTCATTTTTCCAGGAATGGAGTTGCTGACCTTTCATATCTCAGCCAGAATTGTACAAAATCCAGAAATTGAGACTCAGGCTGACAGTAGGGTAACCTGTTATCTAGATAGTTTAACAATGAAAATAATTATCCAACAGAGACTATGCCTTTGTTTTTTATTATATCTATTTCTACTGAGAATAATTTGGCATGTACAAAAATAATAATCTTCATATCATGTCATGTGTTCTATAACAAAAGGTACTTACAAGTCATTTGGTTTAATTAAATTAACACATACCCACTTACACACACACACACACACACACAATGCTTTGCACACAGGAAGTTCTCAAGTGATAACCAATTCATTTTGTGTTTGTGTACCAAAAGGAATATGTGTTTCAGAAAATTGTTGCAATATGTGTGAGTAGACTTCTTCCAAAAAAGAAATGACTGTATTTTAAATTTTACTGAAACATTAACAAAAACATATCTAACTTACAAGATAAAGTGGTATCTGTATATATATATATATTGATTAGGCATGTATCATCCTGAGGGAAAATTCAATTCTGATGAAGCAGAACAAAATTATATTCCCCATAATGAAAATGGGCAGTTAATCTACCCTGAAGAATGCTATATTATCATTTTTCTAGTGTTTGCCATTGACCACCTTTATGAAAATTTGCACATTACTAATAAAGTATAATAATAGGTCAAAACACATATACATGAATGAAGGATATTCATTGTTACATTAATACATTTAGATAAATTTTAAAAAATTGAGTTTCCAATTATTTCACTGTTTCTACACATAAAAGGTAATTCCCATTACCTCTGTTGTTTTTCTTATTCTATATTTCATATTCAAAATTATGGAATAAATGATACAGAGAATGACACAGTAGTTACTCTAAAAGTGAACTAAAATAATGTATTTTCTTGCAAGTCATCAATGTATATTAAATTTGAAAAATAAATTTGTAAAAAATAGTTATTTTATATTGAAAATAATATAAACTAAAAAAATTCTATGTACTATCTTTCAAAGAAGTATCTTTGAATTATAATTAATTCTAAGAAATATTTTGTATATATGCAGTCTCTGACTAGAATGAGGTTTGCCTCTTGCTACAATATTTTATCACCCAAATTCACTATATAAACAACACAGCTAACTTAGTGAAAATTTTAAATTCTAAATGTATCAGTGAGTCCATATTTTCCTCTTTAATTTGTATTTACATGGGTGAGTTCTTACAAACACATGTCACAGATTGAATTGTATTCAATCAAATTTCATATGTTGAAGCCTAATCTCCAGTGTAATAATGTATGAGACAGGGGACTTAGGGAGGTAATTTAGGTTAAAGGAAGTCATAGTATGGCCCTAACCTGATGGGACTGATGTCTTTTAAAAGAAAAAGAGGAGTCAGTGAGAAACTGCCATGTGAGGACACAGAAGGAAAGCAGTCGTCATGAATCCAGGAAGGGGGCGGGGCCTCAATATAAACCAGCCACTGTCCTTGATCACCCAGCATATACAAGTGTGAGGAACTATAAAAAGAGGTAATAAAATTTTGCTTTTTTAATACAGCCAGCCTATGGTATTTCGTTATGGCAGCCCAAGAAGACTAATACAATGCCTATATATCATATGGTTTGCCCAAATCTTTATTATATAAATGTAATTTTAATTAAAATGTTTAATATTTTATATGCATGCCTAAGAATATAAATGTAATTTTTAAAACTCAGAACTATAAGGGATATGTATTTGCTATATCTCTTATTCATTTTAGTTTGCTATCTCAGAATTTTCAGTAAAAATTGATAAGCTTATGAATTTTTTTTTCTCTCTCTTTAAGAAAAGTGATACTCATCTCCTAAACTTGGAACAAAGTGCTAAAGATCATCTGTTACAAGGGCATGAACCCGGGTCACTTCACCATTGTTTAGTTGTGCAGGACATCAATACTTTCTGTGTCCTAATAACTGCGTCTTTGGAAGAAATTGCTACTAATGAAGTTTCTAAAGCCCCACCATAAAACTGTTATTTTATAATTAAGGGCCAGGAAGCATTAATGTTAGATAAAAGGAGGTAATTATTCATATGTTACAAAACATATGAAGTGAAACACCTTAGAAAAATACAGTGGGGTTTTATAGTTGTCTATCTCATAGACTCATGGAGCTCATATTTATGTCACTAATGTAAAAATCCACAAATTTTTGAGGACTTTGTTTAAGATTTACAATGATTTTAATGCTTTTATATTACTTGATTGCCTACAAATATTCTGATCCACATTATATTTCTTAATTTTTAGTGACAATTGAATGTGGATGCAAAAGAGTTTAATAAAATTTTAATAGTTTCACTTTATTTATTATTTTGACAGTATTCACTGTCTCCCTCCTAAGTGCAAAAATATATATTTAGTGCTAAATAAAATAGAAAACTTTAGCAGCAAAGAAAACATTCTATTATCTTCATATGCCAAGCCCTGATAATAAATAATATAAAAGAATAATATTCCACTGAGAGAATGCAACAAATATGAAACATTCTACCAATGATTCACTCAACACTGAAAAATACATTGAAAATTCTGAGGCAAATAGATAGTCTCGTTGAACATTGTAGTCTTAAAATGCATGCAAAGTTCAACTTATAAAATATTAATCTCTTTAATACATTAAAATAATTCCAAATTTTATTACTTTTGTTCTCCCTAGAGCGCTTATTCTGGAAAAACGTTCAAGATCAACTTTTATTTTTTTTCACATTTCTATACTAGCTTCCTATTTTTACTCAAATAGGACATTTAAATAGTAAAAAAAATCATACATATAGTTAAAAATGTAAAGTGTCAACTAGCACACACATACACATTCACTTTTTTACATTAACAAACTGAGAAGAAAAGTGACCACCAACCATAAAAACAACCACCAACAGCCCCCAGTCCCCTTCAACAGATGAGATCACTGTGCTATATTTAGATAGTGGCATATTAGTTAATAATGAAAAGAAATAAACTATGAAGCCATAAAAGACTTGAGAAAATTTAAATATGTATTAAGTGAAATAAGCCAGTGTTTATCACAGTTATGTACTGTTTGGTTGCAACTGTTCAATATTATGAAAAAGGAAAAACTACACAGACAATAAAGAGATCAGTATTGGCCAGTGTTATAGGAGTGGGAGAGACAGGTAGGTAGAACACAGGGGATTTTAGGGCACTGAAACTGCTCAGGATGATACTGAAATGGTACTAAGCACTCCTGAAATACATATATAACTATACAACATACATAATAAATTCTTAGGTAAATATTGACTTTAATAATATCAGTATTCATTAATCAATTGCAACAAAATATAACAATGATGTGAGATGTCAATAGAGGAAATTGGGTCTGGAGGGAGTGCTCTACTTCCTACTTGATTTTATGTAAACCTAAAACTGCTCTAAAAATGAAGTGTATTAATATTATTAAAAACACACAAACAATTTTGATCTATTTCCTAACTTCTTAATAGTATAAGTTTTAAGGTCATCAAAAATTTGAAAAGATAGCATGCAGATACATTGCATAAGATGCATCGTAAAACAAAGAGATTATTGACATCATCACATATTATAATATATTTCAACATTGATAAACAAATACTAAAATTTATGGTATTAAGGTCTTTAAGTTGTTTGGGTTTTGCTTGTTTTGTTCACCTGGCAGATAATTCAGAAAAATCAATATGTTAAGTTTTACTTTGTTTCTAAATTTGGTGGATAGTATAAAACTAATATTACAGGCAGTTTATATATAAATAAATATGTTTAAATAAGACGCCACTTACCACTATATTTGATCACTCGAATTGTTGAATCTCCTTCACCAAATTTGGTGAGAGGAGTCAGTCGGACTTCATAAGCCTCTGGTTTAATTAATTCAGTCAAGTTATATGTAATTAACTCTCCCTTTTGAATATTCCCATTTATTTTAATCTCCTGTTCCCACCAACGCTGCTGTCCAGCCTGAAATAAAAGCAATTATATAATAATTTTTCCAGTATTTTTCTTTAGAGGTACTTATCGTATTTTAGGTAAATGGAAAAACAGTCTGGAAATTTATTAAACAGCATATTATGTTAGATAAACATATTTTATTAAAGTCTAGCTTTTCTATAATGAGCAGAAAAACTGCAAAATTATGAAAGGTAAATTAAATAGATTTAAAGGACTTAAGTCCTTAAGCTATCCAATAGTAAGTAAAATTGGAGAGTTCAAAAAAAAATCCTTGATCCGAAAGTTTGGAGGAATGTTAAATCTACTTCTTATTTAACTTATTCATAGCATATTAGACTCTTGAATACCTGCAACTTCTTTATTATATCAACAAAATATGTATTCCATACATAACAGTTGCTAAGATGTATTGTAGACATTAGGAACATAAAACAAACAAAACCAATTCCTTGACTTCTTCCAGTCTATTAAAAAGAGTGAATAAATATTGAAAAACTTATATAGCCTACAATGATTTCAGAGTCATATAAGCAATGAAGAAAATATGAAAAATGACAATGAGATCAAGAGTGATGGGGGAACATTGGTGTGAGGAATTTTGTGTCCAGGACACCTTTATAAGAAGGATGCTGGGAGTTTCATTACATAAGATGAAAGTTAGGAATTTACCACTGGATCTGCAAGATAGACACATTGGTACCCTTGAAATAAATGATGCCAGTGGAGTAATGAAGATGAAAACCCACCAACATGTGAAAAGAATAATAGGAGCCAGGTGCAGTGGCGTACACCTGTAATCCCAGTGGCTTGGGAGGTTGAGACATGAGAATTGTGAGTTCCAAGCCAGCCTCAACAATGCAGTGAGACCCTAAGCAACTCAGCCAAACCCTTCTCTAAATAGCATACAAAAAAGGGCTGAAGAGGAGGATGTTGCTCGGTGATTAAGCACCCATGGGTTCAATCCAAGTACAATAATAAGAAGAATGTGTGTCAGTGTACCTTCCACACTAAAAAAATAGAATCTCAGAACTCAGGAAATTTTACAGGACTCTTTATATAAACTGTTCAGGAAACAAGTCATTCTGATCTTATACAAACCTTCCAGAGATTTAAAAAAATATATTAATAATTCCTTAACTAATTTCATTTAAATAAAAAACATTAAAGGCAGTATAATAAAAACAATTACATACATATAAACCAAATTTATCCATGTAAGATTGGAAATGTAAATTTATTAGATGCCATGCATGATGCATCCAAGCTGATTAACTTTACAAGTAGGCAAGAATTGTCCCCATTGCGTGTGCATGTATAATACTCTCTGTATTTAGATATATATTAAATATATTTGTTTTATAATATGTTTTATGCTACTTTTCATATTTTAAATATATGATGATGTTCTTCTTGATGTTTTGTTCTTTGTATTTACTTGGGGTTTTTTGGGCTATGTGCTGATCATGTGGCTTAACATTCTATCACGGATGGTTCTTTGAGATTACGACAAAGACATTTGCTTTAGAGGTGTTCCTTTCTTCTGACACGTTCCCGAGGGCATCAACAGTGTGGTTCACTTTTACTTTGATTGTGAAACCCTTTGGTATCACAGATTAAAGTGGAGAAAATGATGCCTTGCTTTCAGTGGGCCTTGGGTTTTCATTCTTGTCTGCCTCAAAACTGCAAACCATTGTGAATCAAAGTTCAAGTTTGAGTGAGTTGGTGGACAGCTGAGGGCAAACGCATTTTCAGTAGAAAATTCATTTATTCCTTTAGATTTCCACTTTCCTTTAGATTTTTTCCTGGTAATTTCTCTCTCTCTCTCTCTCTCTCTCTCTCTGTGTGTGTATGTGTGTATGTGTGCATGTGTGTGTGTGTGTGTGTGTCTTTCTCTATGCACACATAAACATGTAAAACTTTATATGTACACACATTGACACACAGGCAAACACATACATGCTGTATGTATGTATGTGTGTATGTAAGTATGTATCATATATCTATATATTTGTTTTCTGAAGGTGAGGTAGTCCTACTTATATAATCTATACTGTTCTCTATCTGGAAATAAAAATCTCAAATATGTAAGTTATTCTCACATTTTATGCAAAGAACTCAGTCTCAGGAAGATCAAATACATAATTTTAAAAGGCAAAACAGAGGTAAATATGTTTAATTTAAATATTGTGCAACACATACCTATATTAAAACATAACCTGGTAGGTACCTCTTTAATTTGTACATTTTTAGTGTTTTATGTATCATAAAAAACTTAAAAACTGTTTTGCAGTACTAGGGATTGAACCCAGTGTTTCATGCATGCTAGGCAAGTGATCTACCACAGAGCTATATCTTCACACATCTTAATTTTATTTTGAGACAGGATCTCAGTAAATTGCCAAAACTTATGATCCTCTCTGCTTCCTGAGTAGCTGAGATTACAGGCTTGCACCACCATGCCCAGCAATTTTTTTATTTTAAGAAAAAAAAATTAAAATGGATAAATCACTTGGGAAAAACCAAAGAGAATATCATTATCACCTCAAGTAATAGATTGTTTTCTTGAACAGAAAAGTGTGGATCATAAAGAAAAGCTAAAAATTTGGTCAAACATGAAATTAATGTTAAATTTAAAATTTTAATTTAAACATTTGTTTTCATCAGTATTCTCCATTAAACAGGAAAAATACAAGCCAGAACACTGAAGAAGATATTTGTAACATATAAAATTAATATATTAAAAACTCCTATAACTGAATAAGACAAAGAGTTCAGTAGCAAAAGAAGCCAAAGAAGAACAGGTATTTCATAGATGAGGAAACTCCAATAACTAATTAGGGAAAAGTCTCAACTCTCATAATGCCCCAAGGAAACAGAAATTTAAACAACACTAGTTTCCATCATCAGATAAACAAAAAAAAAAAATTTAAAAGCAACAATATTCAAGTTTGGTATAGATATATGTAAATTAATGAGACTTTTTATGACTGTCAGGCCAGTGTGTAAAGGATGGGAAATGAGTGAGTTTTTATCCTACTTACAAGCTAAAGAGCCTACAATAGAATAGTGAGTATACACAGAAGACTGGAGACAATTCCCTCAAGGAAAAAGATTCATGGCACAGCAAAGTCACTCAGGGTCCTCTACTCCAGATTTTTCAGTAGGAAATTCATTTATTCCTTTAGATTCCCACTTTCATTTAGATTTTTGGAGGATTCTTTCTGTGCAAATGACCTTGAAAAGATAGGCTGCCATGAAAGGGCAAATAGAGCCTCTGTACAAGATATACAGAAACTATGAGAAAAAACTGTCTTCCAAAAGTATACTTGATGAATATGTAAACTGCTATAAGTTTTCAGAGCGATTTATCAATAAAAACAATGGTGTTATATAAACTCTTAAATTTACAATTAGGGATATTCATGACACAAAAGACAAAAAAATGATCTAAACATCCATCAACCAGGTAGAAAGATCAAATTATACACAGCTTATGAGATGGGCTGCAAAATAAAGCATAGAAAAGGAACATAAGCTGCACATATTGACATGGTTGGATTTTGGAAAAGTAATGTTGAGATTACATTTATTTTGAAGCAAACATAAGATAAAATTTAATTTTAAATCACATATTTTGAAAAGGGACACATAGATAAGTACTCAAGTAAAAAGAAATGCAGAGGCATGGTGAAGACTGATACCAAATTATACTATGTACAAAATTAATATGCCACAAGGAATGGTCACTTTCACCTTTATATATATCTATAAATCACTAATTAAGTAAAAGTATAAAGAATAGTAGGAAGACCAATAAAATAACCAAAGGGAAACAGGAAGAGAAAAAGGGGAACAGGAAGAGGAAGTACTGGAGACTGAAGTGGAACAAACTGTAATCCATGACTGTATGATTACATTAGGATGAATCTAAATATTATGTATAACTATAATGTATTAATAAAGACATTAAAATTTTAAAGGAAAAAATGACACTGGCTACATGGTTAGGGGAGTGTCAAGAGAAGGGGCAATTGTGAGATGGAAATAGAGTTTGGTGATTTTTCTTTTAGGTTAATGATAGATATACAAATCATGATTATATTATTTTATTTAATTGCTTTTAAATTTTAATTTGTTATATATGACAACAGAATGCATTACAATTCATAAAATATATAGAAAATAAAATTTTTCATATCTCTGGTTGTACACAAAGTAGAGTCACATCCTTCATGTCTTCATACACGTACTTAGGGTAATAATGACCATCGCATTTCACTCTCTTCCCTACCCCTATTCTCCCTCCCTTCCACTTCCTCCCCTTTTCTCCTTTGCCTTATCTAGAGTTCACTTAATCCTCCCATCCTCCCTACCCCCTGCAGCATATTATGAATCAGCATGGGTGAATCAGAGAAAACATTTGGCACTTGGTTTTGTAGGACTGGCTAATTTCACCTAGCATTATAGTCTCCAGCTCCACCCATTTACCTGCAAATGCCATGATTTTATTCTCTTTTAATACTGAGTAAGATTCCATTGTGTATACACCATGTTTTCTTTATCCATTCATATACTGAAGGACATCTAGGTTGGTTCCACAGCTTAGCCATTGTGAATTGTGCTGATATAAACATTAATGTGGCTGTGTTCCTGTAGTATGCTGTTTTTAAGTCCTTTAGGTATAGAATGAGGAGAGGGATAGCTGGGTTAAATGGTGGTTCCATTCCCAGTTTTCCAAGTATTCTCCATACTTCTTTCCATATTGGCTACACCAATTTGCAGTCCCACTGGAAATGCATGAGTATTTCTTTTCCCCTACATCCTTCTCAACACTTATTACTGTTTGTAATCTTGATATCTGCCATTCTGACTGGAGTGAGATAAAATCTTAGAGTAGTTTTGATTTCCATTTCCCTAATTGCTAGAGATATTGAACATTTTTTCATATATTTGTTGATTGATTATATATCTTCTTCTGAGAAGTGTCTGTTCAGCTCCTTGGCCCATTT